AGCTTTTCCCGCCCTGTTTTTAGTAATTAATTTTAATGTACTTCAAGTAAATTGGATTCTTTCGAGAAAAAAAACCTCTAATGAATTATCATCATCCGATTGACAATGCTTGGTTAAAACGCACAAGAGTTTTTGATTCAATATTCTAGAATGCAACACATTTTATGATGAAAAATTTGAAGTTTAGGGAAAAAATAAACGGTTTATACCATTGTCTTTCCACAAAGTGTCTGAGGAGAGACGATTCTTCTGCAGAAAAATCTAATACGAATGAATAAAATAAAGATTTTCTTTTTATTTTCTGTTGTGTCAGCATCAGCATCAGCAACATCATCGTCGTCTATGTAATCATCATCCTCCATACTAAGATCTGCCCCTTTGTTAACAAAAGCGGCCATTTTTTCGGATGTGGTCATCCTTCTTTGATCATTCATGGATGGCGATTTTTTTTCTTTCTTCTTTAAACTAACTTTTTTCACCATTTTGTAAAAGAATCTAAGTGTCAAAATAATAAAGAGTCCACTGAAGAATATGACCACGCATGGTATGATGGCATAGGGCCAGGTCAGGGGTTCATTGCAAGCTGCGTCTGCCGATTCACCGGATGTGCTCAGTTCCGAACTCCATGTCGTGTGAAGGTCTGTTTCTATCGTTGTGTCATACTGCACGCTACTAAAACCATCCGCCGCTGGATTAGTCAGGTTCATTTTAAAGTGATTGTGTGAGATGAAATGTTTTCAATCTGCCTTAGATCTAGCTTACAAGTTTCTAGCTTTCATTTAACAATCGGCTTCAACAAGGAATGTCGTCGTTGAAATCAAGTTTGTTCTGACTTAAAATAAGACAAATGCGATCGTAGTAGTAGTAAGCTTTAATTGGTATAAAATGAAATTCACTGATGATAACTTATTAAAGTTAAGATGTTCTTTCTTTGATGTGATACTCTGTACGAATAACAGCCTGTATTTATAATGTTATCATTGAAACGTTATTATCATAGGTTAGAAATTTTAAAACTTATTTAAAAACTTTAACCATTTTAAAAATTAATTTAACTAATACTTATAAAACCTTCGCGTTGAGTTCGCATGTAACGATAAACGTTCGGCACGAAGAACGATCGACACAAGTCAAATATTTTCTCTTTTACTGAGAGGTATTTAGTTTGAATTGATACAACACCATTGTTTGACTTCAATAATAGAAGAATAAATAAAAATAAATTTCTTCAAACAGAAAGTGGAGAGCTGAAGAAAGAGAGAGAGAGAAAGGAGGGAGAAAGAGAGAGAGGAGAGAGAAGAGAGAGAGAGGAGGGAGAAAGAGAGAATGAGTAAATGAATAAATAAAATACATTTTGAGACTTATTATGTAAATTAGACGGTTAAGAAATATTTAATTCACATAAATTTGAAAACGTCAAATATTTTGATAAATTAATTGCCTACTCAAAATTTTAACTTTAACAACTTTGTTTGCAATTCATTAATGCTATACTCTCTATAAATAATCTCTTCAATTTGATAACTTTTTGAATACAAAAATTTTATTTCCATTAAATTAATAGCCGATCATCTTAATTTTAGATGATAAAAACCAAGCAATCACATGTAGAAATTTTCAAAATAATTTTATTTTTAAAACGATTGTAGAGCTGCATGACGAACTCGATGAAGATAAACGCGGACTGCATTATTTAGACGCGCATTTTTAACATTAAATCTATTTCGGTTAAAATACTCAGACAATTGGATATAATTTTGTGTATTAATTAACCCCATAAAACAATTAATTATTATATTATTATTCAATTAATTAACTAACTGATTAACCTAATTAATTAATTAATTTACAATTACTTCAAAGATTTTCATTATATTCTCGTCATTAAGTCATTTTTCGACTTTTCGGATCAACTAACAAATGTAAATTTTTTAATTTAATTACATTGCTTACATTGGAGTTCTTTGATTTTCGTTACATTTTGCTTTTTAATATATATTTACTTTGTTTTATTCTCAATACGCTAACAAGCTTTATTGCAGGAAATTAATTTTATTTAAAAACCAGAAAAAATAATCTTCATCCACGAACAATCAAGGGCAAATTAAATAACGTTTTGTCATCGAAAATGATGAAAAATATAAATGGAATGTATGTATCGTATAAGGCATTAGTAAAAAATAAATGCAGAAATATATTAGAACAGCGTCATTTGTTAGAATTATGCATAGAAAGTCATAAATTAATAAAATTAAAATGTTATGTTGAGCATTTTGGCAAATTGTAGCATGTATACTCTGTCATCATGTCTCGTTGTATGAGCGCATGTGGGCACAGACAGTAAACCTTTCAAATTAATATGCGTGTATGAAATTTTAGTGCATTCAATATGTCTACAGTTGTTGTCACATTTTAACTAACGCTAACACTAATCTAGACTAAAAATCTTTTGAAATTTGGTTTTAATCTTATCACTGGATCATACAACGGATTGTTTCTGTTTACCTTACATTGTTGCATAAACTAATAGAAGCAGACTGGCTAACAACACAGCGTGCATGTGGGAATGTGGAAGTACATTTTTAATAATCACTAACAAAATTTCTGAAAAACAAAAAAAAGGCACATAAATTAGAGGAAATATATACAATAAACTATGTACGTACGTATGAACTTCAGAATGTTAACCTTATCACTATCCAGTAAGATCATATCTGGAGGTGGGCGAGTGATGACGAATCGGTTGTTTGCGTCGATATTCGCGGCCGGACACAACAAGCGGTACAAACCGATACACAGGATACCGTTTTTGGACAGAACATTTGTAAACATCTTTTCAAAGACATCTTTCTGTTTCAAAGACATTCAAAAAAATCATGACATGATGATGACAGTAACACCAACAATTGTGATGTTTACATGAGATGCGTATATATCCAAATGCTGAAATTTCATTTTAAAATTTGGTTCTTTTGAAAATTGGTTTGATTTTACGTTTATTATTGTTAAAAACTTTAAAACATATTTCCCGATGAAAAAAAAACAAAGAGTATATCAGCTAAATAAGTGAGTGTTTGAAATGAAACCGACAGCATATGGGCTGAGAATTCCCTGGTTGAGAGGAAGCAGAGTGACAGTGCACCTGCTTCTGATAGCAAGCAACTCCTCTTCACGCATCTGACAACTCTGCTCTGTGAGTCCTTCCGCCAGCAGTAAATCATGATCGTCAGTATCCGACCCTGTGACCAGAAGGCGAATCAGGTTGTACGTCTCGGGATTGAAAATTATCTGCGGGCAATCAATTCATCAAATGAGCTTTTGTTCTCTTTTGATGTTTGATACTTCAAAAGATCTTGTTGAATTTTAACCTACAAATTTATTTGAAATGTGTCTAAAAAAATGGGATGTATTAGCAATAAATTTAAACTGATAGAAATCGAAAATTTTTTTAATTTTATCACGAAAAATTTTGAACGAAATGCAAACTCAAGTGCGAGAGACCAAAATAGCTTTAATGATAAAATTAGAAACGTAGTAGCAAGCAATTTTATAAAGCATTCATCGGTGATGTTATTTGGAAGGCTTTGATGTTGTTGTTTTCATTTGTTTTCATTCGTGCAATAAAAAAAGAAGGAACAACATATCCTAACAAATTTGCTCAACGATCCTAATGACAAGCACTGAACAATCGTCAATCAACCAACAAATGAAATATGGGTCAATTCATAATTACAGTGGTTGACAAGGCATTCAAAACCCTGGAAGCAAAAGCTCTGCCACAAGCAAATGGTTGAGTGAGTTGGAATGGAGCATCGACGTCGTCGTCATCGTCCTGGTCTATGAACTGCACGTTCTCGTCGTTCACTTCAAAATTGAACATTTAACACATACTTTATTTATTATCATTCTTTTCTAACAATTTTACGAAAAAGTTTTAAAAAAACTCTTCCAAAAATGTTCAATAAAATTGAAGTACTCAGTTCCGTCAACAGTGGTATGGAGTCGCACAGTCGAATCTTTGACTCCTTGTTTATTGACTTATCTAAATTTATTGGCATTATGTGTGGTTTGAAATTTATTTAAAATAGTTACAAAAAATTGCAAAATATCATCGAATAGGACTTTAAAAGCAATATTGTTTTCATTTTATTTAAAAACTTTTAATTATTGAGTAAAAAGGTTTTAATTACACGCTAATGAAAATAAATAGCGATTTGTTTTAATGATAATAAGTGAGAGGCGCTTACTAGAGGATAAGTAGTCATTGAACAAGAAGAACTGTCGGTGCAACAAGTTGAATGCAGTGCCTTTGTGCTTCTTCATCATGTTCTTTAGTGTCATGTTCTTTATGTTCAATGTGATCAACAGAGCCTTGCTATCTTCTTGCACGGATTCAAAATCTGGATCGCTACTGTCGTCGCTCCTGCAGTCACTTGGTGAGGCGCCGGTCTGCGCTGCATGCACGACACACATGCGACATTTCTCAATGCTGATGCTTCTCAACACGCCTCGGTTGAATGGAGAGGCCTTGCGTTTAAATTTTGAGACTAGTCTTCGCAAATTATTTAAATTATAATGAAAACTAAATCCAAGGCCTTTAATAATAGCCAATAAAATTTAAATAATTATATTATTCCGTCCAATAAAAAATTAACACAACGAATCATTTAACCAATCAGAGAACGCACAATTTTGATGAATATTTTAGGAAAGTTTTGAATCCCATTCCATTCCTTCTCGACACCCAGTTTATTCTCCGTCACGATGACAATGGTGTGCAACTGTGCCGGCGTCAGTGAACTCGATCGCAAGGGCAATATGAAACTACGCAGAGATCCCTGAATGTTAAAATTTGACAGATTCTTCAAGCCAATCATATTTCATTTCATTCATTTTGTTGGTAGTTGAGTTGTGGGGATGTAAGAACGAACGAACCATTGATTGCTGAGACAGGCAGAGTATGATGTGGTCCTTCAACTTCTTCAACCTCTGCTCGCTTCTATCATCTCCCTTTGTTTTGAAACATACTCATCAAGTTTTAGGTTTTTATGATCTGGATTTATATGCATTCGGTTAATAGAACAAGGTTTGTGTTAAAAGAAACTCGGCTGCATAAGGTGTTACACAATAAATTCACGCACAATCAAAGTCCTAACAATTACCATAGAATTACAAAATCAAATTTTAAATGACGCAAAATTAATGAGGATGTATAGAATTTCGCCAACCCACCAGCAAGCACTGGTCAAGATTTCTGGCTGGTGTCCAATAAAAATATCCGGTTGCATCAAATTCTTCCACGAGTTCATCTTCCAATTGTTCATAGGATGCAGAAGGTGGTGGTGGTGGTGATGATGGTTTTACAGGTTGTTGTGCTGATGATGATCTCTCGTTAGGATGATTTTTTTGTTCCTCAAGGTTTGAATGGAGTAGTGGCAGACGTACTGACTCCATATCAATTGAAGTTTCACGCACAAAGTTCAGTGCTTCGTTGTTGTTGATGTCTGATGGGCTAGTCGGCGCGTCTTCGTCCTCGTAAAGAGTTTTATCAACGGAGGTTATCCTTCAAAAAGTTGGCTCAGGTAGAAAAACTTTGAATCGACGGCAAAAATTTTAAATTAATTTGTAACTCGAAACAGTTTGAAGAACAGGTGGCTGAAATTTTGATATGATTTTTTATAGAAAATAATGAAACGAGAGCAATCTCATGTTTCAGTTCAGAGTTATGAACTTATAAAAATGATCTCACCTTCCCTTGTGGTGTTTCCTTGCCCTGGCCAGCAACTTATCTTTAAAATCAGTTACATCGTATCATTGCATGTATAAAAAGTTACAACACACATTAAGTAAAAATCTTAAATTTTTATTATTTTACAAACCTCTCCTATGTTTCGAATAATGATCACTTCTAAATATAAAGAAAAATATATCAGAGAGTGTATTTAGAGGGAGAAATGCTAACAAGAGACGGTTGGTGTGTAGCAGGAACAGGGTTTGATGTTTTCTGCTGGTGTACTGAGATGACACCTCGTGCAAAAGTGAAGGACTAACTGTGCCTGGGTCTCGTTAGCACATATGAAGAAACCGATACTTTTGCTGCTGATCAACTTGTCGGGTCCAGGATTCAAAATTATGCTGGTTAAGGGATTGGTTGGTAGATTGTTTGGTCGGTTGGTTGGTTGATTGATCGGTCGGTCGGTCGGTCGGTCGGTCGGTCGGTCGGTCGGTCGGTCGGTCGGTCGGTCGGTTGGTTGGTTGGTTGGTTGGTTGGTTGGTTGGTTGGTTGGTTGGTTGGTTGGTTGGTTGGTTGATCAAATAGGAGATTGCATTGCGGAATGATTTGAACACGTAAATGACTGAATAATAAATTTTCAATGTTTCGAAAATTTAAAATACCTCAATTCAGTCAATCATTTTTATCTAAATTAATAAAAATATTAGTATGGACAAAAGAGAACGACATTTCGAGTAAAAATAATTTCAAAACGTTGAAAAAACAAATTGATATCTAGATAAAAATGATGCCAACTTGGTGGCCACATTGTTC